GCTTTGGGTTGGAAGGGACCTCTGGGGGTCACCTAACCCCAACCCCAGGAGGTTCACGCAGGCCTGCCCCTCCAGCTTGTCCAGGTCTCTTTGGATGCCATCCCGTCCCTCTGGCGTGTCAATGCCTTTCTCCTGTCCTTTCTTGCCAGGTGGATGGAGGTGATCAAGAGAGCCACTAGCTCTCCCGCCAGGTCGAGCCTGCTGCTTCCCAGGGACGAGAAGGACACCCAGACCGACTGAAGCAGGGCAGAGCTGGGCCTCTGCTGTAAGCACCAGGAGAGGCCGGTGGAAACAGGAGTCTCTGGAGCTGATAAAGCAAAGAACCAGGAAGCTCATTTCCACCTGGTATGGAAAGTGGGAGCGAGGGCATTGCAGACGGGGATCGCATCTGTTCCCAGTGGAGAAGAGTCAAGTCTGTTCCAGCTGAACCCACTTAGAGAGAACCCAACAACCACAGAGCTCCAGTGTGCCCACATTGTGGAAGGTTCATTGTTCCGGCTGTGCCCGTACAGCAACACCCTTGCCTGTCCCGAGGCCAAATGCCACCTTGTTTTCACATTTTGACTGGATGGTCAGCGTATGCAGGGGAAGAACAGCAGCTGCCAGGGGTGCAGTTGGCTGCTGGTGCCGGGGCTTGCTGGCTCCCTGGAGTTCCCTTCCCCTGATGCTCAGTGTGGCTGGCTGTACAACCACTGTCTCACTGCTGTTGACATCAACCGGCTGGCACAGTCATTTTAGACTACAGGGGATCCACAGGTGTATTTGCTTAAACACAGTTAATTTTGAACAGGAGCTGCAGCTCTCATGGAACAGCTCTGCTCCTCAGGAACTGCCGTGGCAGCAATTTCCCAGGGGAAGCAGGAGGTCTGAACCCCTGCTGAGCTGTTGAGGGTTCGGTATCTTGTGGGTTGGTATAGGTAGGGTCCGTGGGTTTTCCTCTGAAGTCCGCTATGGTGCACGCTGAGAGGGTCGATCGCTGTTCTCGTATCACAGCTCCAGATTTTCTTTATCCTGTAGTAGGCATTACTTAAGGCATGGGATGGCAAACGCTCTCCACCCTGTTCCCAAGGCAGTTAAGAAGTACAGGAGAACAAGCTTCTCTGAAAGTCACTGGTGCTTGTGCTTGCGTCACGCAAAGACTTCTGCAAATCCCTTTCTTACCTTTAAGTTTGGGGTGGGACCCATCTTCCGTTCCTCATGAAGGTGTAAAAGTCACTGGATTCCAGACGGAGCGTTAGTGTCTGTGGACTCTATTAAACCTTGGTGTTAAATCTGAAACCTTTGCAGTTTGTTCTGGTTTTGTAAAGCTGCCACTTTTGGTTGCCTCCATGGAAGGACTGGAATAAGCGAAGTGCCCCGAAACGCTGTGGCTTTGATGGGCTCTAGGGCCTCTGCTTTTACATTAGATAGAAGAGGATTTGTGTGCTAGAAGAAGGACCAGCGATGTGGTGTAGCGCAAGGCAAAGGGAGGTGTTGCACGGCCTGAGGATGGAGGAAGGTGGTGATGTTTGGAAAAGCGGGAAGCACAGGGGCCAGTGCGTGCGTTCTCCAGGGCTGTTTCAGGTTATGGGCTCAACCATGTGCGGGATGAGGACTGCAGGGAGAGGCTTCCAGAGGGATTTTCCAGACCGCACGCTTGGCATTTGCGTCGTCGAGATCAGTGGTTGCAGCTCCAGCCTTCACCGCCCGTCACAGTGACCATTGTCCCATGGAAGTTAAATGTACTTAATTTATTAGTGTCTTTTTCTTAATTAACTGTTGTGGGTGTACACATGTGGATCGACTACATATGTTGTAACGCAGCTGAATATGACTGTTGAAAGTAAATAGCATCTTGGTATAAAACTCTCTCAGCCTCTTATTCCTGAGCCTCGCATCCCCACCCGTGGCTGTGCTCGCAGGAAGGCAGACAGTGTCTGCATGGGAGTGTTGCCTTTCCTCGCACCCGAGAGAAGAGTTTTCTCACGGTTGATGAATGGGGCTTGGCATTCCGTGGGTTTCCTGGATGACATCTTGACCGCTCCTTTGCCACAGTTGCGCAGGGGAGTCACTTCCCTCCGTCATAAGAACTCCCCCGGGCAATTGCTGCCCTTTGCTGGGCTCCCATGGGGAAGCGCTGCAGGAGCGAGCTGCAGGGAGGAGGAGCGGGGTCTCTGTCAGCAGCCGGGGGTCTCGGCACTTAACCCCAACCTTTAGCAGGGCTTCCTAGCACCAGGATTCAAAATCCTTTTTGAGAGTGTTCAAGTTACTTGGTAGTTTTCCACACCTGGTTCTCAGCCCAGCATCAAGTTGTGCTCCATCCGCAGCCGAGACAGCACCGAGTCAGGATGATGGAGCCCATGAGTGCCACTGGGCTGGGGGAGCCGCTCCAGGGCAGGGCAGGAGGAAGAGACTGACACAGACATGGCCCGAAATTCAATAAGGATAAACACAAAGTCTTGCCTGGGGGACCAAGTACAGCTGAGGGCCTACGCGGTTGCCATGGGCCTGGGGCAGAGTCCCTGGGGGCCCCAAACACAAGCTGTGTTTGTGGAAGGGCAGTGCATGGCTCTTATGAAAGCTGGACCCAGCCAATTGCCAGAAGAGACCAGGAAAGAAGAGCAGCAGAAACCTGTGGTTCTGCGAGCCCAGGGCAGGAGAGGGTGCAGAGTTTCCTGCCTGGGTTGCAAGAGCCTGGTATTTGGCCCTGGTAGTTTTAATAATTTTTTTTTAACTAGCTGACAGATCACTTTCTCTCTTACCATCAGCCAAACTGTGTCTGAATTCCCTCTGTAACTCAGCTATCAGTCTCCCTAGCACCACCCGTTACAGGGAAGGAACAGCATCTGGAGTTACTGGCGAGGGAAGCCCAGCAAGCAGCACAGCAGCTTGGCTCCTGTGTGCTCCCTTGCAGGCTCCAGGGGAGCCTCTTCCCCCCCACACCTTGTTTTTCCATCTCGGATCGCAGGGAATGCTGCTTTAGCCTGTAACACAAGGAAACACCCAACATTTAGCAAACTGGCAGGCCCAGGGCTAACCCAGAGGCTGTTGGAACAGCTCTGCTTGGTGCATCCTCCCATCACCCTGTAGCAGAACAGTTTCTGTTACACCCTCTGTTACGGGAGAGGTGCAGTGAGCAAGAATCCTCCCTTAAGCTTTTGGGGTAGTGGAGGATGAGCCTTCAGGTGCTCACATGCTTAACCTGCAGCTCAGCAGTTCTTGTCCTGAAGATGCAGCCACTGTAGGCAGCGGCCGAGGTGTAGTCCCTGAAATGGGAGCTGCTGGTGCTGGCTGACCGGACACGGAGGGACAGCAGGCACAAGACATCCCGGCTCAGGTGGAGTACACACAGCTCAAGCATCCATGTATTTGAAATGCAAGGAGCACGGGCTATGAAAGCCAGGCATTGCCCTATTCCTGGCTGAACTGCTCACCTCTCGATGGGGCAGGCTTCCAAACTGGTGAGGCGTTCGGTGGCGGAACAGCCCCACTGTGCCGCACAGTGTTGTGGTTTAACCTGAGCAGAACCCCGCAGGAGTGGGGTTTGTCTTTGCTACAATCATGAGCAGTTTCCTCAACGAGCACTGGGAACGAACAGAATGCAACCGGGCCATGCTCATTAGTCTCCTGCTAGCAGGATGAACTAACGGGAGCAAGGAACCCGTGCTCTTGGGCCCTCGGGGCTTAATGGCCATGGCCTCATTTAATTTCAACAAGCTATTGTTTCTGGCTAGCGTCACCATTTTTCCCAGCGTCCCGCAGCCCTGGCTGCTCTTGGCGCAGCGTAGGAGTCCTGCGTCATTGCGCAAGAAACCAGAACATGTTTTTGTGGTAGTTCCCACCGCGTGTGTGATGCAACGTCCTGGAGCTGCCCTTCTCGCCCGGTGACAGGCGTGACTCCTGCTACGTCGGGCCATTCACCTCCCTCTCCTATCGGCTACGGTACTGCAGCTTCAGCTCTGCTCAAGGGTCAGCAAACAACGCGTGCATACAGGAGGTGTTCAGGGCCCACCTGCGTGTACGCTGCTAGGGTGCAAGTGCAGCACGGCTTGCAATCAGTGACATTAAATAAATGGAGGAGGAGCACGTTAAATAAATGCTGGGGGAGCACAAATTGTCAGAGCTTTCATTCCTGAGGCAGACTTTCAGTCACCTGCACAAAACACAGGCGGCAGCTGCCGGCGTAGCTGTGCGTGCTCACCTTCTGGTTTGTCCCCGCTTCAGCTGCAGAGAGAGGCTGCACCGTCACCGCCGTCCCGACACCAGGCGGCTGAGCAGCGGTGAGTGGCAGCACGTGGCACTTACTTAACAGAATGTCCCAAAAGCACAGTGGGACATTTGTCTGTCTCTCAGTTTGGCCCCAAGGAGAAGGCAGCTGAGATGCTGCTGCACAGCTTGCCTGCAGAACCAACTGTAACCTGCGCCTTCATTGCTGCTTAGGAAGGACAGGCATACATGAGGCTTTAAACATGCTTCGGGTGGCATCTCCCAAGTGTTTACGCTGTAACTGAGGTCATGGAGTGGTTGGGGTGGGCAGGCAACCAGTCCAGCCCTCGCGCTCAAGCAGGGCCCCCTAGAGCTGGATGCCCAGGGCCATGTCTGGACAGTTATGGTTATCACTGAGGACACAGACCCCACAGCCTCCCTGGGCAGCCTGTGCCGCTGCTCAGCCCCCCTCATGCCTGTGAAGGGAGGAGGAGGAAGGCAGAGATACCCCGCTGCCAGCTTCGGCAGCCAAACCCAGGATGGATAAACAGACCCCAGCAGAAACTGCAGCGACACGTTCTCCGGAGCACACCCATGCAAAGGGCATGCACCTCCCGTACCACCACTGTACACCAACAGACAGGGCTACGGTAACATGCCTGGCGCTGTATGCCCTCCACCCGCAAAAAGTACTTGAAGGGCTGGGTCTGCGGGGCCGCTGTTCGAGCTACACACGATAGGAAGGTGCAGGGGCAGACCACGAAGCAAGCAAAGCAAAGCAGCATGGACAAACATAATGACACCAGCCGCGGTCATTTTGTTACTTTATTGAAAGTGGCAGATCCCTTTCAACATTTTTAAAAACCGAAAGCATCGTTGCTTCGCCTACTGGACGAAGTTTGTGGGGATTGTTTCCTTTAAAAAGGTCACTCATTACCCTGCGGCGCATATGAGTAAGAACACAAGGTACCTTAGTGACACGATTTGCTACTGTCATGAACAGCAGCTCCAAAGCAGCAGGAGCCCTTCAGCCATCTTTCTGCTGGGCTGCAGCCTCTGCCTCCACTAGATTCCTGGCTAGGGGTTAACTCTTTCTCTCGAGGGAAGAAATGGGTCTGTTCTGTTCTTCATCAACGCAGGCTCCGCGACAGCTCTCACGCAGAGGGATGCCGCTCTGCAGAGGTCCAGCAAGGTCAAGCAGCAGCACCTCTTTGCTACTGGACAAGGTCATGGTGCTGCTGAGCCCGTACTGATCCATCGGAGAGGAACGTTAAGGACAGTCACAAACTCAAGCGCACGCCAGGATGAAGGAATGGATAGTCCTTTCGAGCTACTTTTGGCCCAGCACTTAAACAATCCGCAGGTCTGAATCAAAGTACCAAAAATGAAGCCTTCTTACTAACAAAGTGGCCTGGCTTTAAAAAAAAAAAACCACAAAAACTGCTGAACAGCTACAGCTTTTGTTCTGGGTGGCTTTGGGGCGAGCCCTATCATTCACACACACCCCCCCCAGGCAGAGGATCTGGCTAGCTGAGGTCTTGCTGACCTCATGGGAATATCTTTACAATTAGAGAGCAGATCTCTGAGCAACCAGTTATCAGAAGTTGTTGTCCTACGCCTGTTTTCCTAGGCCTTTGAAGTACAGATTTAAGATCTGTGCATTTGCCTGCATTAAGGTTTGATTTCTATGCTAGCGTGATACAGGAAGCATGGCTAGTTGGGGATGCCTCCCCGGGAATACCTTAAGCAGCCCCTACGGCAGCAGACGCTTTCATTTCTCTGCTAGCAGCCACCAGCACAGCTCGTCAACTGGAGCAGAGCCCTGGCTGCAGTGAGTTCAGCTCCCAGTCCGGAAGAAGAGCCCAGAAAGGGAAAGTTGAAAAGAAGGGGACAGAGGCCTAGAGCAACTTCTGCAAACCCCCAGCCACACCGCATGGATGCTGCTGCTGCCTTTCTGTAGAGGAGGAGCTCCTCGCCTCAGGAACCGCTACCCCTGTAGAGCTGCCTTTTGATTCAAAGCCCTGCCAATGCCTTTGGCTGTTGTGTTCCCCCCGCCCCCGTGTTTAACCCTTCTGCAATGCCTGGGCACGCACAATAGGTGTCTGCTGTAGAGGCCAGGACAACCCCATCTGCACATCCAGTTGCTTCAGCTGCAGAAAGCACCACGGAAAGGAGCTGCACCAGCTCCCACACCACAGGTAACCACTTTGCCTTCCAGGCCCTGGAGACCCACGGCATGTTCTCCTCTTGCCTGAATTAGATGATGAACGAAGGCCTGATACCAAATGATGTCCCAGAGCCCAGAAAAGTACAGTCAGCAAACACGTCCTCCTGTGAAGCAACAGGCTGGGGAAGAGCAGTCACAAATTAGCTCAGCTGCTGCTAAACCTGACAGCTTTTCCTTAGTGTGCGAAGGAACTGAAGCAACCCTCCGGAACAACCCGAGAGCTGCCCGAACTCGCCCAGAGGCCCTAACGCATGGAAGGCTTCCAAACAGACCCACACTCACACGTTACTGCTCACAAACGCTTCTTTAGGAAGGGCAGGAGGCCAAACCCATCTGACTCGCCTTTGAAGCGCATCTCAATGGACGAGAATCTCCCCCTTTTCCAGCAGCCAGGCATTTACCAATAACAAGCTGTGAATCAAACCAAGCCAAAATGGATATATCCATAGGGAAACAATTAAAAACTGCATTGATTACATTGTAAAAACAATTTGTCCACCCATCTCGGGTTCCGCAAAAGGTCTAAGTTGTACTTGCATTGCAAACCCTACCCTGGGTTATCATGGAAACACGGGTAATGTGAAGGCTCTGAAATGTCCCCGAGTCCGTAACACAACGTTACATCTGACAGCAGATGGTGGTCTGGGTTAGAGATGGAGTTCTTATGAAGCTGGAAAAAATCCTTCCCCCCTCAAAACAGCAGCAGGGAATGTCAGTGTCAGCGGGCAGAGGTCAGGTGGTTCCGACTGTGTGAAAACCTGCAAGAGAGAACAACAGGTGGAACCGGTCCCTACCGGCCCTCACCGGAAGACGGCCCCTGCGCCCCGCGCCGGCCAGCACATCTGCAGAGGAAGAGGTAAAACTGGATGCGTTCACTCCTGCTCCCATTGCCTCTACCAGTTCTCTAAATAAAAGTCTTGAAAGAAAAGACTAGCAGTTTAACAAAAGCCAAGGCGGCACTTTTTGCGGGCCTTTAAGATTCAGTTTTAGGCTAGTAAGAAATTGTGAGCACCAGTGTTTTATAATAAGAAACCAACCAGGGCCTCTGAGGTTTTGCAACCCTCCAAAAACCCCATGGCCTTGCACCGATGCACTGCCCAGTGGTGCCACTGACCGAAGCAAAGGGTTCTCAAACCAACCCCCGCCCCGCAGTCACCCAGTGCTCACCTGTGAGTGCTTCCCACTCAGCAGGAGGCCAAAGCTTTTGCAGGCACCACCAGAACACTTTCTGCGACCTCTGTAGGTTGCCAGAAGAGACAAGAGTGTTCTCGCTGCGGCTTTGAGTGATTATTAGATGAGGGATCTAAACAGCCCCACAGCATATTTGCTCGAGAGCTCAAATGACTTCGTAACAGAAGCCCTGAAGGGTGGCCAGCGGTTTTGGTCCTTAATGTCTAAGGCTCTTCTTTGCTTGGCAGCATCCAACAGATAGTTGAGCTACAAGGCACAAACCATGCCAGCTTAAACCCATCAGAGATAAATGCTTAGAAAGCCCAAGTTCAAGGGTGTAATGACTGTCACCCTTGGGTTGTATTTACATGCACAACCAGAGCCAGGCTGTGGCTCCTTTAGTTGCATCTATAGTGCTGCACTTTAACTCCAGCCTTCTGACCAGTGGGGGGCCAAATGTGAGGTTTCTCAGCTAGTGAGGGAAGGGCGGGATTCAGGATAGCCCGCTGGGAAGGGGAGACCGTCCGCATTTATGTTAAATAAAGCCCAACAAACCTGTGCTCAGGATCTGGCATCACTGCCTGCGCTCCGTGGATGTGAGTGAACTGGGTGCCAGTGGTGGAGGCAAGTTTGACACAGCACCCGCTGAGCGGCACAGAACTGAGTTCTACCAGACCACCCTCCTTCACTGGTTTATAATGCAATTCGCTCCAGGAAAAACAGTTTCCTGCTACCTGAAGCTGGGCAAGCAGAGCAAGCGGCTGCACACAGCGCTGCAACACATGTTCCTTGCTGTGAAACAGACACTCACTACTCCGAAGCGATCCCCATGCCGTGGTGCAGTCCTCACTACCTGGGTAATGGGACCAGCAGGATGTCATATCCATATGTGCGCAAGCCGAATGCGAATCTTTCCGTGCTCTGCAACGTTCATCTACGCTACAGAAACCTGTTCCATGTGAGAAAGGACTTCCAAGGCAGGAAGAATGGCTTCCATTAAAGGAAAAGCAGTTAAAAGAAGTGACTTCGGGACTACCAGGTCAGCTGTCACCAATATTCACTTCTTGGGTGTCTTGGCAGCTCAGCACCAACCCTTACCAGAGCTATGGAGCACGACAGTGGTTCGGCAGACTGCTAGCTCCACCCCAGCTCAGGCTCTAGCGGACACTCACCTCTGTACCCGCTCCACCATGTGTGCTATCAGTTTGTCAGAGATGCCTGGGCAGGACTCCTCAGCCAAGCTAAAGGCATTCTCCAGCTCCTCCATGGCTCCCACGTTGCCTCCAGTCTGCTTGTGCTTATCTTTAAGCTGCAACCCAGAAAGAGCGCGTTAGGTCTGTACCTCATTGCAAAAAGCACTGGTCCAGCAGCGCAGTACGGGCATCGAGTCCCTTTCCCTTTTAGTGTGACTCCACAAGGGCATAGGAGGGCACCCAGATTCTTCTTAAAAAAAAAATAAAAAAGGGCTCTTATGGTAGGTCAGGAAGATGAAAGTCCGGTGTCTGGAGTTCAGACTTTCCTCCAGGTGCTAACAGCAAGTCCTTAAACAGGTCCCGATGGACTCTTAAACAAACCAAATGATATGAGAAACAGATCAACAGCCCTGAAAACCCGTAAGTAGTAACCAAGAAAAGAACTCCAGCTGTATCTGAACCAGTACCATCACCTTTGCTGCTAGGATGGCCTTAGCACCCAGACGTGCACAAAGCCTTGCAGGCAGACAGGGCAGAAAATCCTCCAACACCAGGAGGTAGTCACCACTGCTTTTAATGACCACAAAAAAGTCTGAGTTGCTTCTAGTGACTGGGAGGCTGAGGGAGACTACTGCCACGCTACACATCGTGAGCCACTTGGCTTTTCCCAGGAGAGAGCTTTCCCCAGGGGGGCAGGACAACGAAGCCCACGCACTGCAACCCCTGTGTGCAGTGTCTGACCCAGATGCAAGGCCTCAGTTTGCATCTATCATTGCTAGCATGCTCCAACTGGGCTTCACCAGCCACAAAGTCTACTTGCATGTGGTTCCAGTTGTTAATTTGAAATAGCTAAACCGCTGTCATTAGGGAGCTCCTGATGGGTCACTGATGCTGAGCCTGAAGGAGTCTGTTGTTGGCAAATCCTCTGCAGCATTTCCCCCCCTCCTCCACACAAGCGGCTTGTGCAGCAGCCCCTTCCCTAGCGCACATCATCGTGCAACGAGCTGAACAGTAATCAAAACCTTTTGTTGAACAAGCAACGCCTGCCAGCTAACCGCTGTCCAGTTCAATTAAGCTCCTGCTAGGCTATGCTGATTAAAGGGCTTTACATAAGCCTCAGAGTTCTTTGCCTGCAATTCTAGGATCAGCCTTTCCTGTTGTTGGAGCTCACCTTTTCTCCATGGCCCAGAAAGCAGAACAATGTGAATGCTAATCCCCAGCTGGAGCCGTCCCTGTGCTCCGAGTCCCCCACTGGAAACAAACGGTTCCTAACCAAAAGGAGCTGCTGCCTCTTCAGTGGGGTAATTGCTCACCAACACCAAGCCTCAGCTGTGGGAGCAGCTCACACACATGCCTCAGCTCATTTGGAAGTGGCAGGGGGCACAGAAGGCAACTCAATTACACATCAAGGATACAGATTTCTCAGGCCAAAATAGTTGCGATGCTAAAGCCAAGGATTTGATTTGATGTCTACCTGATCAAAGAGTGCCCACCTCGGAGCAAAGTGAGACACAGGGTCTGTCCTGCAGGTAAGCTGCCAGTTTATCATCAGCCTTTGATGCCAAGCTGCTGACCTTTCATTTGCCCCGTGGCCTGTGATGTGAGCAGCCTGTGTTACCCTGTCACCTTCTGCTGTAGAAGAGTGTTCTGGAGGGTGGCAGGGGGTGGAGAGCTGCACTGCGCAAAGCCTTACAGGTTGGCTTTTATTCACCGCCCCAGGCCCCATGGGGTCCCACCCTTTCCTCCCTGCCCCAGGATGGGCAGACAGGTTTCCAGATCTGCAGTTCCCCACATCTGTGCTAATGACCCACCATGGGTCATTCTCAGTATGAACATGCAATAATACACATGGAGGGAAGGCATTTGAAAGATCCTGACAGCTTCTCAGTAACATTTCGATTCACAAAGCCCAGTTTCAGCCCTTTTAAGGACAGAGGTGATCAAAACCTAGCAGGTCTAAGAGGCAATAATACAGCAGTGAGGAGGAGAAACTCTGCTGCTGGTAGGGAACTAGAACTGAAAGAACAGCATGTGCAACCAGCAGTGAAGTGACTTCCTACTTGGAGAAGTTTTCTTCCAACCCCCTGCTACTGCACGCAGAAGCCAGGTTACTTCAGAGACTGCCCAGAACCTTCCCTGCACCTGATTTCACTGAGTGGGATCAGCAGAGCCGGCAGGGAAGTCTAACCAAAGGAAAGGAGGATCAGCAAATCTGGGGCACAGGTGTCAAACTAGCAAAATGAAAGGGCCAAGAAGCCACATCCTGGCTGGAACCGGTGCAGCAAGGCTGGTAAGGAGAAGCACAAAGATGCACTTATTGGTTTGGAGAGCTCACAGCTCTGAGCACCCTCTTCCCCAGAAGGCTCCTAAACAGGACTGAGAAACAGCTGCCAGTGATTACGCTGCAGGAACAAACTGCCGGCATCAGGAGCCAATGTTATTTTATCCTGTTTTATCTCATAGGTCTAGGCCTACAAGACCCAGACCGTCTGCCTTGTGCTCTGACCTCTGGAAGTCAAGCCCAGCGGAGTACAGAAGAGGCCAGTTAGCTAAACTCTCTATTTCCAAAGCAGTGCTGTCTCAAGAGTACTGCATGCCTGCTTTTCAGAACGACCTCTGCTTCCTGCCCAGCAGCAAACCCTCTTTCCACATAGCCCTAGACCTGAGAAAAGAGTTAAGTCCAGAGACTATTCCCTGGAAAAGCACAGCTCTCTGCTGGGCCAGCCCTGGAACAGCATCAGGATCCAGAAGAGAGCAAAGTCATCAGGACCAGAGAAAGGGTGTCTGTGACCCAGCACCCCAAGAAAGGAACCCTGACATGCAGGGTCTGCGTAAGCAATTTCTTCTGAAGCAGAACTTCCTTTTCCGCTGGAAACAGCAGCTGAAGCCAGTAGCCCCCGTATGATTATCGTCCTCTTCTCCTTCCTTAAAACATCACCCAGCTGGAAAGAAAATTCATCTCTCTGCTGATGCAGATGCTATCCCATCATTAAAAGTAGCTTTTACTTAACTCCATAGCCCCACCCAGGACACAAGGTGGGGAAACAGGGTGGACTTTCCAAACCTATTTTCTCTGTCTCCCTTCCATGTACGGTAGGTAACTCCTTAGCCTTGGCGTGCTAGCGATAGCAGGCATCTAAATCAAGACGATGGCCTAGTAATTGGCAAAGCCAACTCCTGCTCTAATCCACCCACATTCCCTTCAGTGACGCTGCCGTGGGCAGCACACGCACAGCAATAGCAAGCTCACATACCTGCCTGCCCTAACAGGAGCTGCACTTCAGCTACGGAGGCCAGGGACATCAGAGTCCAGAGCTGCCCAGGCAAGCCTCAGACACAGAAAAGAACCAGGCACTCCTCTACCTCATCCTCACCAGAAGACAACACAGTAATGCTATGCTTCCGGGAATACAGGTGTACTGAAGAGGACACTCCGGGGACGTACTAACTTTCCTGACATACTGTATAGACCTCATAGTCCCTTAACCCTATAGCAGGTACCTCACCCCACTTCCCTTCTCCAAATCCTTCCCATCTGTGCCAGGTGTCGCTTTGTCTCTAACCACCACAGACACCAAGAAGGTTCTACTCACCTCCCCAAAAACTGGGTGAACAAGTGTGGAGAGACACTGTGACCGTGGCTGTCTCTTGATGGGCTCAGTAGGCTAGAAAGCAACATGGAAAGAAGTTAACAAGCAGAGGCAAAGGCTCCCTGGGCACACAAACTGCTAAACCTTTCGCAACTTCACAGCACCTCGATGGCAGCCCCCTCACCAGGTCTCAGGAAAGCCACAGACTGAAGTACCCTGATGATGTGGAAGAGGTAATTCTGGGGCATTAGCCCTTGATACCAGACTAAAGTAAATTTTAGACAGAACGCGAGTAACTGGCAGCTTCCCCGAGACCCTCAGAAGCTTGCGTTAGTTCAGTCCACTTCTGCAGGAACAAATGGCAAACAGACCTTCTGGGAACCATGAAGAACCATTCCTTTGTGCAGCTTGCTCAAGGAGTTGGGGCGAATAGTTGGTGGGAATGTCCAGACTGGACCCTGGTCTCCATCCTCTGTGTCTCCATCACTGAAATGAAAAGGAGGAGGTCAAGACAAAGCCTCAGCTCTATACACCGTGAGTTTTACCCACACATTCCCATAGTCACAAGCTCTCCCCCACCAGATTGTCATATTACCACAGGGCTCCAGGCATTTCCCTATCCCAGAAAAAATCCTAAAGAGAAACCACTCCAGTCTCTACAGCCCATGTACAGCACCACAGAGATCTGAGCCAAGCACTGCATCATGTTTCCAAATCACCACAACTACCTTTCTGCTCTAGCCAGCTTGAAGACAGTTTCAAGCACTATTTCAATTTGGAGAATTTCAAGACAAGACAAGCTCACAATTTGAGGGGCCAGACTTAGATGTTGCAAGCCAACCTCCAAGAGTCACTGACACTATGGGGTGAAGAGAATCTCTGCGACACCAGCCTGGCAACAACGTGCCCCTTCCTGACCCAGGGCTCATAGCCTTGTTATCCTCCACATCAGCAGCAAAGCTCTACCCAGGAACACACAAACACGTGTACACAGCTGTTGCCACAGTTACTAAAGCCTGTAGCTCCTTGAATGGCGATGTATTTAACTAAATGTGCATAAAATACAGGCAACAAGAGCCTTGTTTCACCAGTTATGCACATGCTAGATGTTTCTTCTTAGTACTTCCGATGCCTCACACTCGGCAAAGAGGCCCCACGGGTTGAGGTGCCCACAGACGCTCACAGGTCTCCCTGAGCTACTGTAAGATCTCCAACTCAGGTGGGGAAAAGGACCTGAGCTGCTTGAAGTAGGCTACCCCAGGGCATGCAGGGTACAGCAGGGGCACCCTTCCATGCAGAACATGTACGTACATATCAGAATCGCCAGAACTGGAATCTTCTCCATGACCCTCTGACTTCCAGCGCTTGAATCGATCTATCAGCTCCATTAGGAATGAGGTTTTCTTGGTGTAGCGTGTGATGAACTTGTGCTTTAGCAACTCTTTAGCTGTCGGCCTCTGGAGCAAATAAAGAAAGCATGCTACATCTAACCGCCTCTGTACACTAAACATGCAAGTGCACTGACTTCAATTCTTGCCAGGCTTGCCCGTCCATTCTGCAAGCTCAGTACTTCCTTCTCTCCAGGAGCCTTGCACCAAAAGGTCTTCCTGCTAAATAAATCTTTGACCTCTACAATACGTTACCCAAATTCACAGGTGGGCAGCAATACTCACAAATCTAGGATCCTTATTGAGGCAGGCTTCCACAAACTCCTTGAAGGGCTTGCTGTGGTGACCCTCGAGTGTTGGAGGGTTATTTTTGGGGATCAGGAAGAGAACCCGCATAGGATGCAAGTCAGAATTTGGAGGCTCTCCCTTTGCTAGTTCAATGGCCGTAATTCCAAGGGACCAGATGTCTGCCTGAAAGAAGAGCAAGAACAGTGACAGCACAGAAGAGCAAGGAGCAATTCTGCAACATGGAAGCATAGAATCACAGAATGGTTTAGGTTGGAAAAGCCCTTTAAGATCCTCCAGTCCAACCGTTACCCTAACCCTGCCATCCCACCACTAAACCCTGTCCCTAAGTAACTTTAGCACAGACGAAGGGCTGATTGCATAAAATGAGATAGGGTGTTTCATCTCTAATAGACAAAATTCTCCAACAGATCCTGAACCGTAACATGAAAGTATTGCTCTTGCAACAAACAGCACTTCCAATCCCTGTATTAAGCCTAGCACTGTCTCATATAGAGCAGCACCAAGCAGCAATCCTGCTCCTGCTCCCAGCTCACCTTGAAGTCATAAGCAGACTGTTTGATGACCTCCGGTGCCATCCAGAATGGAGTCCCAACAAAAGTGTTTCTCTTGATTTGTGTGTCTGTCAACTGTCCAGCCACTCCGAAGTCAGCCAGTTTCACATCTCCTTGTTCCGAAAGCAGCACGTTGGCAGCTGTTCACACAAATAAGCGCTAAGTCCACCGGTTCCTGAATCACCTCCAGCCCACACAGAACAGAATACTGAGAATGGACCTCCTGTGGCACCCTCCTTTGCCCCAGTGAAAACCCTCAGCTCGGATTTCCAGCCTCAGACTCATCCTCTGACCTCTGCTGGGTAACACGGAACAAGTTCATATGCTTGACTGGATCAGAAGGGGAGTATTTCTAGGGTAGTAGCAAGGAGTCGATGTGAAGGGACACACAATCAATGAGATGTGATTCCTGGCCACACAAAGAAGAGAGGGCAGCATGGCCCAAGACACCTCAAATGGTCTCGATTTTTCCTCAGAGCAGCATTCAGCACAGATTAAATAGCAGATCCTTCTAAAGAGCTCATAAGTCCTAGTCTTGTACCGCTTCCCACTCATTCAGCTTAAAACAGTGGCGTTGCTCAGCTTTTGCGATGGGGTTTTTTTTTTTGGTAGGACTTTTCATTTTGAGAGAGACCCTACCTACAGACTTTCAGCATCTCCCTACTCTGCTGGTGGCCAACAGCCCTGTGGGGCCTGCAGTGCTAGAAATGTGTAGTCTCACATACACAACGGAATGTGTTCTACATATCTCCCCACATGAGGTTTCTCTGCTCTACTTGTTCACATCCCCTCCTGCAGAGGGTCAGAGCAGCTGGCATCCAAGACTGGCCACGTCTCCACAGCACCGTCCTCCCGCCCTCCTGCTGTCCTTTGATGCTCTGTGCTCGGTGCAAGAAGGCTCTTCAGAAGGCAGATGCTGCATACAGCCAATGACTATAAAAACCAGTAACAGGATAAGCTGACACAAGCTGCCCTGATTTTCTAGGGCTGTGAACCCTGTGTGAGGACAGCTCGCCTTCACAGTAAGTTATAACCATGATAACCAGCATATACAGGGGTCCAGCAGTGAAGCAAATGTCCAGACATAACTGAGGGTCAGCTAAAATTTGAGTGTGCCTCTCATGGACTCCTTTGCTTTACCCCCTTGCCTGTCCAAACTACAAGTGCCAGAGCAGAGCTGCAGATCCTCACTGTTACTCTAAACCCTAAAGACATGAAAAACATGAGTTGCTATAAAATGACAAACATCGGATGCAGAAACAGGCAACCCAACAGGAAAAGCAGCGCTGAGAAACAGCCTTTGAAACCTCTCAGATAATTGCTGTATAATACTTCTGAATCTTACATTAGTAACATCCCTTACAAGAAAGAGAGCTGAGCTATCCACTCTTACCTTTGATGTCCCTGTGGATCTTCCTCTCAGAATGTAGATAATCCAAGCCCTTTAGTATTTCTCTCAGGATAGTGGCTATGTAAGTCTCCTCCAGGGGTCCTGGCTTCAGCTGATAAAGGGCAGAAAGATGACTTAAAGGAGGGTGACTGATGCCTTGGATTTTCCAGCCTCTCAGTTTGTTACTTGGAAACCTTGGCCAAGCAAGGTCGTATT